CCACACACACACACACACACACACACACACACACACACACACACACACACACACACACACACACACACACGGCACAGTCAAAACTGAGCCTCGAAAAAGCTAAACATTACCATAAGATTATCAACCCACTTACATTGTCTTGAAGATTACAGATTATTTTTGCATAACATTTGTTGTTGTCTCGGGATGGAACCGTCCATTCCAATGGCCAAAAGAAACTGTGGTAAACCTGGGAAGATATAAGCACAATTTGGATGTTACCTTCCGTGGGCTGTTGTCAAGCAGTGGGTGTGGAGGTGCTTCAACAATTAGCATTTGTTAAATACAGTTCGTAAAATACATGTGACTTGATAAAAAGGCAAATAATTTGGAATTTTGGTGTCAAAACCCCTTTGACTGATCTTATTTCAACATGATTAGAAAACCTTAAGTGATGTAACAAAAAGACTAAGACTATGAAGAAAGAAGACATGTGATTACTGCCTCACATACAGGTAGGATAGCACACACCTTTAATTCCAGCATTTAGGAGGCAGAAGCAGGTGGATCTCTGTGAGTTTGAGGCCAGCCTGGTCTACACAGGGAGTTCTAGGACAGTCAGAACTACCTAACGTATGTACCGATGCCCCACCCCAAAAGAATACAAAGTGACCACCTTGTTAGTGGTTTTCAACCTTTGAGTCTTGAACCCTTTGGAGGTCAAATGATCCTTTCACAGGGGTCACCTAAGACCATGGAAAACATATTTACATTACGACTCATAACACTAGCAACATTACAGTTATAAAGCAGCTATGAAAATAATTTTATGGCTGGGGGTCACCACAACATGAGGAATTGTACTGAAGGGTTTTAGTTTTAAGAAGGTTGAGAACCACTGGCCTAGAGAAATGACAACTAAATAAAAGTCCACTCTAGCTGGTAGGGACAACTCTAGCAACTACCTAGATGCTGGTTCTCTTGCTTCCTGCCTGCAGACACCTCCTCCTGGGACTTTATTAGTCAGCACAGGAAGAAGGAAAGGGGTGCAGGTACCAGCAGACAGGGACCCCTTTGTTGTGTCTTATGGATGACAAATAGGACTGTTTTCTCCTCTAACCTCCAGCCTCAGTGTGAGGATACAGCATGGGCCTTTTACAAGTTCCCTAGTGAGAGCATTTGACAGTGGTCTGATATGCACAAGTGCAAAGGCATCACAACATTGGGCACAGAAAAGTCTAAGAAAACCACGCCTTTAGTCCCAGCACTCGGGAGGCAGAGGCAGGTGAATCTCTGTGAGTTCGAGGCCAGCCTGGTCTACAGAGTGAGTGCCAGGACAGGCTCCAAAGCAATACAGAGAAACCCTGTCTCAAAAAAAGAAGAAAAAAAAAAAAGAAAACCACTCCAAATTTTGACATTACAGATATAACCTACGAGTAGCTGTTTCCTATTTCCTTAACTAAATTGTTCAAAATTTCTTCAATGCAAATATATCACTTTCATAAAGAAAACAGCAAATTAAAGTAAGAAAATCAAAGACTATTTATATGAACGTGAACTGCTTACAAAGAAACTTAAGACCCTTGGTGTGCTGGTTTGAACAGGAATGGCCCCCATAGACTCATGTGCTTTAATACCTGGCCCATAGTGAGTAGCACTATTAGGAGGTGTGGTCTTGTTAGACAAGTTTTGTCACTGTGGAGGTGGCTACACCCATCTGCTGCCTGCAGATCAAGGTGTAGCCCTCTCAGCTCCTTCTCTAGCACCATGTCTGCTTGCATGCTGCCATGCTTTCCACCACTGTAACTGACTAAACCTCTGAACCTGTAAGCCCCCACCTCAACTGTTTTCTTTATCAGAGTTGCCGTGGTCATGGGGTCTCTTCACAGTAATAGAACCCTGAGACACCTGGGGAAAGCAAAATTTGTGCAGGTCTGTGTGTGGCCAGAAAGGAATGCCACAATAGAATGGATGCCACTAGGAATCCTCTTACTACTCTCTGCTTTGTTCCCTTGACCCTGGAGCATACCATTGTTTGGGGAGGCCAGCAGCCAGCAAAGGACCAGCATTCATCCTGTCAATACTGCCTGCCTGTCCCCCACCACCAACGTTGGGTTTATGTGAGTGCTGGGAATTTGAACTCATGTTCTGATGCTTGAACAGAAGTGTTCTTACATTATTTAGCTCCTAACTTCTTCTGATAGACAGTCTATCCTCAGATAATAATTACAGAAATGGACACTGGGTTATAGGCATGTTCACAGACAAGGCTTGGCAGTGAAGAGCGGCACTGGCAGTCTTCCAAAGGACCAGGATTCAATCAATTCCCCGCATATACCAAACAGCTCACAACCACCTGTAACTCTCATTCTAAGGGGTCTGATGCCTTCTGGCCTCCAAGGGTACACATGTGGTACAGAGATACATACAGGCAAAACGCCCATACACATGAAACAAAAATAAATACACGTTTAAAAAAATAGAGTAAATTTAAAAAAATAAAATGCTCACTAATTCATTTGTAACTGTAGTTTTCTATATATTTGAAACCACCTTGAACTTCTGAAAAGAGTAAGATGAAAACAAAGGAGAACTCACTTCAATATTTTCTTCCCCAAATTTCTCAACAGCTTTTTCTTCAGACAGGCCACAACAGCCATACTCCAAAGGAGTAAATACAGTTGTTGGAACGTTGTCATAGTCACACTGTTTCACATGGGGGGAAAAAAAAGAGAATGAAGAGAGGCAAAATGATGACAGAAAACACTGTCTCACAGCACAAAACTCACTTTGACAGTGGAGCCCCCATACAGCCTCTGAGCGAGCAATCTCCCAGCCTGGATGGCCACAGGCGTCAGCTCCAGCTTTCCCTCCAGAATGTCACCAATAGCATAGATGTAAGGCACATTGGTCTGCTCTTCATCTGTAACAGGTATTTTCCCAGTCCTGCAACCATCAACTGCCATGATTAGTCAAGTAAAACTAAGTCCTCTTCCTCCCCAGAACAACATTGCTCTAATTACTAAAAACAAAACTGCACACAGGAATCAAACACTCTGTGAAAATCCTGGTGACTACTTTGAAAGTCAAGTATGGAAAATATTTTAAAGCATAAATCCAAAACCTCCTTTAACATAGTGGTTAAGAGTGAAAATTCTAACAAAGAGCCACCCTCCCCCCACCTCCACCCCACCCCTGCCAGCTGATTTGGCAGCACTGAAAGAAGAGCTTCCAAAGCCAAAGGCAGTGCTCAGCCTCGGAGACTGGAACTTTAAAAAGGCAAAGGCAGAGCAAAGCACTAAGTAACTGCACCATGTCTGTCCCCTTACTTTTCATTGATCTTCACGCCCACTGTCTCTAAGCCAATCGTTCTCGTACAAGCATCTCTTCCTACTGCCAGCAACACCTGAAAAAGAATAAGCAAAGATGGCTGCACAAACCACTTAACCCCAGACCTGGAAAACACATTTCATTAATAAAATACAAGAGTGTAAATGAATGAAAACCTTTTATTTTTTAAAGTCTTTTGAACAGATACAGCGAACATCCCTTGGCATTTTTTAAAGGAAAGGGAGGTGCTGCCTTAAATTAGGGTTAGGGTTAAGTTTAGGTACAGTGGGGGGCTGAAGAAATGGCCCAGTGGTTAAGAGCACTGCTTGTTCTTCCAAAGGTCCTGAGTTCAATTCTCAGCAACCACATGGTGGCTCACAACCATCTATAATGAGATCTGGTGCCCTCCTCTGGCCTGTAGGAAACATCCAGGCAGAACACTGTACACATAATAAGTAAGTAAATCTTAAAAAAAAAAAAAAAAAAAAGTTTAGGTATAGTGGTCGAGCTAGGGTAATGGTAAGGGTTAGGGTTTGGCTAGACAAACTCAATACAGTCCATGGCTCAATTATTTCCTAAATGACAGTCTGGGAGACAAAAAGGGAAGATCATGGACAGAGAAAGTCTACTCATGAACACCTTCTGCCACTTGACCCAGGCCCACGCCTTACTGTGTTAAATTCGCCTTGCATAGTCTCTTCACTGTTCGTGGACTGAGCAGTTACCCTGAGTCGGCCTGGTGTCCCTGCTTCAATCTGCTCAACCTATAAAAGTAATCAAGTTTTGCTTTTAAACAGACAGACAAGAAGACCAAATGTTTCCTCCCTTTCTATCTGTTCGTCCTCAGTGAAACAGAACTTAGCCCTGAAAGGGTTTTGACATCCATCTCCCTCACATAGCAACATCAGGATGAACAACTTTCATTGACCTTCTGCTTCCATACCAACACTGTTTATTCGACAGGCTTTTCCTCAAATAATTCTTAAAATGCAGAGAAAAAAGTGGGGAAGAAGTAGAGAAGGCACAGCACACTCCCTAAGATGGACCCCATCAGCCACTGCAGTCTCCAGGTTAATTATCAATCCGAGAGCCACTGCCACACGCTTTGAGAGCATCTCTTGACTACAAATGTTCAGCTTTCACTGACAAAGAACAGTGAAGTACGTGAGTAAGGGTTTAAATGACAGTTAGAAAGCACTAAAAATCACAGTGTAAAAGATATGTTTAAGTAGCGTTCACAGTTGCTAGGGACATGGGGAAGGAGTGAGAAGCCTCCTGCATCAGCAGAACAAACATCCCTGCCTACCTTGACAACCTACTACAGTCTAAGGGCATCAGACACCACGGGACAGTCCATCAGCTCTCTCAAGGGTCGACAACCTCATGAACATTGACATTATTCAGAAAGATGCTACATTTCAGAAAAGAAATACTTCTCAACAGTACAACACACATTGTCTCCTAATTACAGTGCTAATGCAAATATAAGGGCTACGCCTGTTCCTCTAAACCCAGACAGAGCAGTGGTCCTCTAATACAGTTAGTTCTTCATGTTGTGGTGACCCCAAAACATAAAATTATTTTTGGCTAATTTTTTTTTTTTTGAGGGGGGGATTGAGACAGGGCTTTTCTGTGTAACAGTACTGGCTGGCCTCAAACTCACTGAGATCCACCTGCCTCTGCCTCCCAAGTGCTTGGATTAGAGGTGTGCATTACCACCACCCAGCTAAAATGTGTAGTCCAGGCTGGCCTGGAACTCATGATCCTCCTGCCTCTGCCTCCTTCAGCAAATCCTACCTGCGTGGCATCATCACAACTGGCTATTTTTAGCTAATCCTTAACTGCAATTTTGCTACTTTATAAATTATAAATATCTGTATTTTCTAATGGTCTTAGGTGACCCCAGTGAAAAGGTCATTTGACACGCATCCACCCCACACCCCCAGGTTGAGAAATGCTGAGAGGAAGAATGCTGTCCTGGTAATTCCCAGCGCTCCTCGTGTTTAGAATGCTTACAGGCCTGCTTCTACCACTAATCCTGCCTTTTGACTTTTCCCCGGAATATAAAACCAACAACCCCACAGAAAACCACTTACTTTAATTGGCACGAATTGCCTTATAAACTTGATACCATGTTCTTCCATGTGTTCACCAATTTTGTTGGCCATGTCCCGGTCAAATCCTCTCAGGAGAATGGACCGTACCATTACAGTCACATCTAAGCCAATACCAGCAAGAAACCCTGCACATTCCAAAGCAACATAGGACGCTCCAACCACTAGGGTTTTACCGGGGCAGTAAGGCAAGGAGAAAAGATCATCACTGAAAAAGTTAAGGGGAGAAAAAAGGACAAAGACATTGGTCAGATATGGGGAGTGATGGAAGTATTTTCCACTTTCCTAAGATTAGAACTTTTAGTATTATCAACATTTGTTAAGACACTACACATACAACATGAGAAAATTTTAAAAGTCATACATAACTATTCTTTGTTGGAAATACCCAGCCGGTTTTCAAATATGCTCACTAAACACAGCCACTAGTGTAACTTCTGGTATGAGATCCCACAGTCATCTTGTGCCATCTGGAAAACATGACCCATGTGCAAACCCAAACCCCCACTGATCTACACTCAGTTTCATTCCTGGGTGGGTTTAACTTCTTGCCAGGAACATCTAGTTATCAAGAATGGGAAGAAGAGTGGGAAGAAAATTTTGAAAATCTCATTTTTGTAATATGAAAAGTTATGAAATTTTAATTCAACAAAAATTTTGTAGTTGAGTTAGAAATAAACAACAGATAAGAGATCATAAAATCAGCCAGGTGTGGTGGTGCAAGTCTTTAAGCCCAGCACTCAAGAGGCAGAAGTAAGTGGATCTCTGTGAGTTCAAGGCCAGCCTGGTCACATAGTAAGTTCTAGGACAGCCAGGGCTACATAGTAAAAGTCTAATTTTAACAAAATAAAAATGGGAAGGGAGCCTCCTAGGGTATGAACATCTATGTGTCCAAACACCAAAATTCCTACTTCCCAAGTGTACCCAGTATTAACAGGTTTTTAATAGATCATAAAGGCCCAGCTCTCATGAACGGACTGTAGCCTGTGAAGAGCCCCACATCATCTTTTCCACCACACAAGGACACTGCAGGAAGGTACCATCTATCAACTAGGAATTCAGTCAGGAGTCATTGCCAAACCTCCAGAACTATGGAGTTCATTCCTTAAAATTCACACATTCCAGGCAGGAGAGACAGAAATATCAGAACTGCCCCTGTCTGCACGGGAGGAGCCCCCACCCCAACTCCCCAGCAGGTAAGGAAGTTAAACACAACCAGAAATTCCCAGGCAAAAAATGCATCCAAAAAGACAGAAATTGGCAATGTGTCCTAATGACTTTGTAACTTAAAACTCCTCAAGCAACAGTGCTGGAAATGCTATCCCTGGGTGGGCAAAATCTTTTTTCTTGACACATGTTTAGAAGGTCCTGCTACAGGACACTGAAACCCTAGAGGAGCCAGGCAGAGGAGCCAAGGGTTCATGAACCTCTATGGATGGCTATTCGAACTAATCCTTTCAGTTTGTACTTCCCTAGTATTAACAAGGACATGATCCTTGCTTTGCAAAAAATAAACCTACATACAAAACCACACTTATTTTACAAAATGTTCCGAATACCCATCTGGTTTTCAGATACAGATTAATTAATTTCGACTGCAAAGAGAAATGTATTGTACATCTAGCTATGTTAGGTTGCCAATGTAATGTATTAACTGCAGGATGACCAATGCTTGTAGCTCTCAACTTTTAAAACGTCAGTCCCTTGTTTCTTCCAATCCCAACGGACAAAATACGGCAAATAATGCAAGCAATGAACTAAGTGGGTTTAAAGAACAAGCCGAAGGCACAGCCCATGAGCCCACTTCTCCCACCTGCTGATGCAGTACTCTTTGTCTCCAGGGATGCCCAGGTAGCGTGGCCTTTCCCCAGTGGCGATGAGAAACCGCTCTGCTGAATAAATTTTTTCTTTTCCTTTGTTATTTTTTGCCTGCAAAGGAAACAATGTCAATTCCAGCAGAGGACTATCCCTTAGAACCTTAGTTAGTAAAGGGCACGAACACAAGTCTCCCTCAGTCCTCACAATGACAGTAAGAGACACTAAAGGATGAGCAGTAAAGGACTGCCATAAAGAATAATGCTAGCAAGTGACAGAGGCAAACCTCAAATTCAAGTCTAGGACCCTGGCACTCCACCAACCCAGATGTCCCACAGAAGGCCCCATCAAGTGTGACAGCAAAGTAACCCAACTGGACAATCCAGGTGACAGTAGCCTTAACTTTGACACTTGTCTGATTTTTAAAAAACATACTGGAGATGATTTTCTCTGCTCACACCAATGGAAACAGTTATGAAAAAGCAAGGGAGGAGAATGTAGCTTTACAGTTACCTTAATCTTGTGAGAACCAATGAATTTCCCATAGGCATTCTCATAGTAGACCTTCTTTTCCCGAAGAGCTACTCGGTAGCCCCAATTCAGCGAGCCGATGTGATTCTGCACAGACTCTGTCATCTTCTCCCAGTCATGCTTAACTGCGTGAGAAGAGAGAAAACATTCAGTCCTTCCCACTGCCTCATGAGTTTCTCAGGAATGTCTCACCTGGAGCCAGGCGTTTCAACCCAGATGAACAAGTTCTCCTGGAGCACAAAGGCCACTTTCTCACGTTCAGGATCCCAAACTGCAACACAAATTCCTTTCTCCTTTATCAAGACGTGAATAGATCGTTTACTCGGATTACAAACACTGGCTTGTGGGGAACAGGGTGCCATTAAAGCTAGGGGTGCATCTGCAACAAACCCAGACTCTGCTGCAGGCTGGTGTGGGGTTACTACAGTGTAAACAACACATGCTTATGTGGGCACACTGTGGCACTATGGGCCTGCCATCATTTTGGTCGATGATATTTTAGTGAATATGGTCAAATTCATTAACATATCATCTCAAGCTGTTTTCACATTATGAAGATAGAGCTAAGTGACTGCCACAGAAACAGTATGTAAGGCCCCAACATCTCAAACACTGCTTCATCTACAAGTTTGCTAGCTCCTTATTCAGAGAACTTGAAATCCCATTGTCCCCAAATCCTCACCTAGAAGAAAGAAAATTTTCCATTCTGTAATTAAATTAGTCCTTTGAGTCAAGACACTAAATACTAGATCTCAAAATTTCAACTGATAAAAATCCATCTTTTTTGACACGCACATGCCTGCATCAGCACTTACAAGGGCAGCTGAGCTACCCAGTGCATCCCAAGCCAGCCTGGACTACAGAGTAAGGCTTCTGTCTTTAAAACATGCCTCTAATCTCAGCACTCAGGAAACAGAGGCTGACACAAGCAGGTCTGTGAGTTCGAGGCCAGCCTGGTCTACAAAGTGAGTCCCCCAATAGTCAGGGCTACACAGAGAAATGCTCTCTCAAAACAAAACAAAACAAAACAAACCCAAAACCCAACAAAATCAACCTTTAGTCATTGGTTAATCACTGTTACTAATGGCTTGAAGAAAACAAGGCACAGATAAAATACACTCAAGAAATAAGGAAAAGACAAGCCCTAGGGAGGCTGTGTTAAGAAGAAACAACAGGAAAAGAGGCTTCTCTCATGAAAAGTTAAGAGTCTACAAGCACTAGTCAAGCAGCCTGGCCTCCAAGCACATGGTGAAGCCAGGCCTATGACACTTAACCGTCTGCTTCTTCAATTGCAAACACCACACAGATACTCAATCCACACAGCATACAATGTTAGAACTAGAGCCAACCTTACGAAATGAGTTCATCTTAGGGGCTATGGGGCCAAACAAACTAGATACTTGGGGGTGGGGATGCTGTAGGGAGCTGGAAAGCCTGCCTGCCTGGCCTCTGCTCACTAGAAGAATAGAATCCACTGTTCACCAGGAATGGAAGAGGACAGTGCATATCTTGCCCCATCTGCCAATTATTTAACTATAATAACTACCAATGTTTAACCAACCTCTGTTCCCATGTGGGTTGAGTTTGTTTTTGATTCTTTTTTTTTTTTTTAAGTACTACATTTTAAGTAAATCTAGTAAATCAATGGACTTGTCATAATGCTAGCAAGTGACAGAGGCAAACCCAGGTAAGTCGTTGCTAGTCATGTGATGCAGGAGTGCAGCTGTCATTTAATGCCCAAAAGCCAGTGATACGAACTCTCGTGCAATGCATGCATTATAACTAAGTACTCTTCACAGCCTTGAGTGCCTGTCACAGCACCGCGTAAGCTCCTGGTTCAAGAAGAGCTTCTGGAATTTTACCATGTACAGCTCTGGGGCTAACCCAGGCCACTTTGGGCTACTAGCAGAACTCAACGCAGAACAAAGCTGTAGGTATTATGATGGACGTCGCAAGGCCACAGCTCAAAGCCCCTTCTTTCTCTCTCATACCTGTGTCCTCAACTTTCCATCCATAGTTTCGAGAGTCTTTCAAGGCTTGTCCTAACAAAGCCGCCTGGTGCATCAGCTTTTTAGGTATGCACCCCACGTTCACACACGTTCCTCCCAGACCTGCAACAACAGAAGTCAAAGTCAGCTCACAGCCCACTCAGGGTCTTCAAAGAAGCCAAAGGTCACTAATATGCAATGAGACACTATTATTATTGTTGCTTAACATGGCCAATACTGTTAAAGTTTGTTCCCAAGCCTCATGGCATTTCTACGATTATGGCCTACGGACAGAGCACATAGCCATCCTGAAACAAAACAGACAGATTACTACAATTTCTGTAACGTCCAGATTCAAATGGTTGACAGTGACAGAAAAATTGAAATTTTACCATGTGCATAATGCTATACTTGATACTAAATCTACACACAGAAATAGAGAGGGCATGGTTAGGCGGAGGTCTGAAAATATGTAAAAATTTGGTGTCTGTGAATTTCTGAGGCAGCAGCCTATAGTTTTCACTGATTCTCTAAAGAACTCCTACGGTAAAGCTCCCCTCTCCCAAAATAGTCACCTCTAAGCTGAGAGACCACTGTGATCTGCAGGCAGGGAGGGGAGGTGGCTATGGAGCTCACAGTCCAAAGGCATATCCTCTGGGGAAGAGTACCACCACAGTATCACAAATCCAAACTCCACAGCTCAGGAAATGAATCCAGGACCAAGAACAGTGCCCCATGGAGTACTGAACACTAATTACTTACTGGATGGATGAGTTGATAGGCTGCGATGCCACTGTATCTGGCTGCACTGCCACTTACTACTGCAAGGAGCCAAGCAATCTTTATAAACAAACTAATCATTTCTCTGGCCTCAGACTCCTCAAAAGAGCCATTAACTGACTTCATTGGCCTGTGAAGTACTGTACAGTTGGACCTGCCTTTCTTTCCACTTTACGTATTATGTCCAGATCAACTATCCAGCTATACCCACTAAGGACTCTTACCTGCCTGGGGACCTATTGAGCTATTCTGTGAGAATGCTAGCAAACACTACCTGATGTTCTGCTTCAACTTTGAGCACTTCTTCAGAAACCCTGCCTTACAAGTCCCATAGCTAAGCTCTCCTCTACCCAGGAGTCCCCCCTTTAAGTACCACTCACCACCAACAGTAAAGGGCTCACTTCTGTTTCCCACTGATGTAAAAAGAAGTTCCAAAGGGATGGGAACTTCTTCTACAGTAAGTTCACCACTAAAGCCCCATGCTCCTGCTTCACAAGTAACCAATACACAGTCAGTGAATGAACAGCCAGCATGTAACTCACAGAATGGCTATAGCTGCCTTATTTAGGTATCTGAATGCAGGAGGAGGATTTAGGGGAGGAAGCTTACAAAGCTTCAAACTCCACTGTGTAACAGATCATGAAATGTCTGCCAGCCTGTGGTCAGTGTTTCTGCTGAATCTAAATCTACAGCATTTAACTGGATCCCCTTTAACTCTGCTCTTGTAGAAGAGTTGGGTTTTAGGAGCCATCGGCATCACTGCCAGGGGAAAGGACTACTTCCAGCAAACCACACAGACAGCATCTTAGAAGCTCACCCCATCTAGTTCCGAGAGGAGTTGGTGTGACAAAATCCAAGACCAGCACCTTCTTATCAAATTTTGCTGCCTCCTGGGAAACAAAAAAAAAAAAAAATATTACAATGAGTTAAAAGAATGGAAATAGGGCTGAGCAATCACGATGTTTTTATTATGCTCTAAAACATAACCAATCACAGATCAGTGTGTGGAAACCTTACACTGTTGATTAGTCCAGCTGCAGGACAAGTTAAGACACTCAGACAGGTCCAAGGTTTACACCAATTATAGCTGGAAAATTGTTAGAAACCACTAGCAGGCCTTAGATGACTCCTGCATGTGTCCTCTTCAAATGTTAGCACATATAACACAAACCTGAGCAACTTTTTTTTCTATTTCCAAGCATGTGATTAACACCTGGCAAAGCCAGTTAACTGACAGCCCAAGGAGCTTGCCTCACGCTGTGCTCTGAAAGGCAGCATCTAAAAACTAAGTTTTACCTAGTTCTATCTAAGCCAGAGTACTGGAAGGGGCTATGCTTTTGTTTTTCTGAAACTGTCTTGTAGAGACTACTTTTTCTCTCAGAGGAAGCATGGTATACTGGCCACTGGACCTGCAGCAGTACTGGAGAACAAGGACTGAGGCTGTGTGTCCTTCAAACATGCCACCACCACAGAACAAAAGGCCAAGTGTCAGGTGCTTTGCTGAGACACCTTTAGCAAAGCCTTGCTTCACACCAGGTACTCCCTGTTCCTGATGTGGGAGGTTCCTGGGACTATCTTACTGACTGACCATAGGAAGAACCTTAGAGAATGTAACCACCTTTGCCTTTGAGAGATCCTGCTGGATGATGACAGGCCTGAGGCCATCACACAGGCATGTCCTGTACCTGCAGGTCCTTTTTCCAGTCAGGTCCTGGACTGACTAGTTATTCTCAAATCACCACTATACACCAGAGGCAAGTCACTTTTAATTACATTTAAGAACTCTAACTGTTCATTGAAGATTAATTACAGAAAAGCCAACAAAGTGAAAAAAATCAAAATTTAAAACAAACAAACCCCCAAACAATGTCAGCAATTTCAAACCATATCCATACACCTTTACTATCCTTGGGGGGAAATATCAAGCAAATTTAGAATGAAATAAAGTGTGCCTTAAATCGCTGGGCTCTGAACTTTTACATGAAGAGCTGACATTTCAGTATGGAAGTGATTACAGAGTGGCCCTTTTATATGTCTCGACCAAGTCAATGGAAAAAACCACAAGCCATGGTCAGGGCAAACCCAGAGGAGTGGGGAACTGCCAGGGTGGGGGCACTGTGTCCACCCATCACCTAGACACCATGGCACAGAGAGCAGGCCTTGCCTTAGCTGCCGCCAGTCCTCCTGAGCCTCCACCAATGATGATGAGGTCGAAGTCATAGAACTCGGGGCGACCTTCAGAGCCATTCATTGTGGGCAGCTTCTCAAGTTGGCCTTGTTGATATGACTGCAGGGATACAACATAAATGAAAAGAATTTACTGAAAAGCAGCAAGGTCCAAAAAGCTTTGGGAATCTTTCTTTAAAGAAAACAAAGGTTATTTTCAAAGAGAAAATGTCAACTCTCACTGCAGCTACATATGGAAACATTCAGCCTTCCTGAAGGGGACCAGTGCTTCCTTTCATGGAGGCCAGGATGCCCGAGTACTGCACCCCAATGCCTTTCCCTATGCCTGCTTACCTACTACTCGGGAGTGTTCACCCAATTTCACATACTGATGCCCATCCAAACCGACCAACACCTCAACAAAGTTAGAGCAACTCTTCTCTCCAGAATTTAGTGTTTTACAAGCATGTATTAATGGGTTTATTAGTGGGTTTCACTGTCATAGTTTCATACTGACTGCCCCAGGATTTTTTTTTTCTTACCCGGTTTTATTTATTTGTGGGGGGAAGCCTGCCACAGCATAGTTGTGGAAATCAGAGGAGAATCTGCTGGGGTCAGTTCATCTGTCAGCTTGGTGACAAGGCACCTTTACCTGCTGAGCCATCCAACATCCCTTCCTAGAGTTTTAAAACTATATTTTAAATTAGGTTTCCCTCACCTTGGGGCAAACAAAACACAGAACAAAAAACTTCTACTGAAATTCTCCCAATTGCACAGTGTGAGACTATTTGATATAACTGTCCAGCATGTTTTATAGTGCCAGAAATGTAATTTAGCCATCACCTTTACTTTTTAGTGAAAACAAAATCAGTGGGCAAAGGTCTTAGGCTAAGAAGGGAGTCTGGAGAATAACAAACACAATAATGTTAACACAGCAACTGCAAAGTTGGCCAAGATTTAAGACTTTATTACACTGTGTGGCTGAGATGCAAAAATCTAAAATCACTAACCAGTATTGATCGACGTGTAAGTTCAAGCCTCTGCTTCTACAAGGTATTTTATAAGTTGGGGATTTTGTTTTATGTGACAGTGTCTCACTATGTAGCTCTGGGTCTCCTGGAACTCACACTGTAGAACTGCCTCCCAAGTGCTGGGGTTCAAGCATGCGGTGCCACACTCGGCTTCAAACCTACGGTCTTATGCATGCCTTCTACCAGCCAGTCCTTCGGAGACACGTACTCTATGAAGCTCACAGCTTTACCCAGTGCATGTCTGAAGTCCTGTTTGGTTTTTGTTTTGGTATTTGCATGTATCAGACTTTAAAAACGGGTATTAAGGAAAAACTTTTAAATATCTTTTTCATTCTAATATATGTATGTGTGTATATATATATATATATTTATATATGTAATTGGCTACATTCTACATTGTTTTGGAACACTGTTTTAGCAATACATTCACTATTACCTTATAATAAAACCCTGGGCTAATGAGGATAGTGGCTGAAAATCAGTAAGTATAATAAAAATACTTTTTAATCATTTTACCCTTAATAACTAAAAAGCCCCACACTTACCAGCCCAGACTGCATATTTTTTTCCTGCCTACAATCAGGTGTAGAGGGTGGAGGGCAGAGCCGGGGGTCAGGAGAACAGGGCATCGGGAATGTGGAGGGGGGTGCCGTGGAAGAACGTGGAGGAAGCACAGCCCCACGAGTGCCCCTCCGCAGCACACGGGGTGCACACAGAGGCTGGGGAAATGGACGGAGAAAACCTGGAAACCAGCAACAGTTGGGGCAACTGTGTCTCATCACCCAGACCGTCTGCACAAAAGGGCTACCTCGAGAAGCTGGGAAGCACAACCAGCATTCGCCAGCTGGCATGATGACCAAGGCTTCTCCTTCAATGCAGGGCGCTGTGGGGGGAAAAGAAGCTGGTAATAAGAGCCCTCCATACAAAGTAAGGCCAAATAACCATCATGACGCCTCCCTAGGGGTCACCAAGAGCATGAGGCTCATCTGTTGGTTTTAAAGAGTAAACAAAAGATACTTCGCCGGGCATTGGCGGTGCACACCTTTAATCCCAGCACTCGGGAGGCAGAGGATCTCTGTGAGTTTGAGACCAGCCTGATCTACAAGAGCTAGTTCCAGGACAGCCTCCAAAGCCACAGAGAAACCCTGTCTCGAAAAACAAAAAAACAAAAAAACAAAAACAAACAAAAAAAAGATACTTCAACAGATGGTCAGTATCCTGCTGCAGAGTCTGGTTCCCAGACACCAGCTTTCACACACTTACGCGCGCGCGCGCGCGCACACACACACACACACACACACACCCACACAAGTGAGACACAGACATACATGCAAACAAACACCACACACATAAATAATAATAATAATAATAACAACAACAACAACAACTGGTGGTACTTGTGTGTGCTTTTTTCAAACTGGTGAACAAAAGGCAGGCGCAAAAAGAAATCTTCTCCTGGAACCACACTGTTCAGTGTGAAGCAAGCACACGGACACAGGAGACAGCGCAAAGTGATGATGGTGCTGATACAGAGGTTAGCTGTAAGAAGAGAGCATCATTACAAAGCACAGGGAATGAGAAAACTAAGATGCACAGATCAACGTTCCAATTGTCACTCAATGGATGAACATCCCCTCTTAGGGGAACATGAGGTCCAATCTGTAGATGCTTCTTGCTGGGAATGAAAGTGTATTTCCAAGTAGCATACAGACCCACAGGTATTCTGAATGGGACAGTAATGAAAGTGATCTCAACTCACTCATAAGAGGCTGATGTCAGTAAGCAGAGGTAAACCTACCCTTAAACTGTTTGAAGAAATTGGGAGCCAAAGACCTCCAATGGAGAACTTTGAAGTTGTCATGAGTATGTCTGTCTCTTAATTCACTCTGATAAAAGAATCATGGCTAAGGGCTGATGACATAACTAGATTAAGCATTTGTTCTTTGAAAAAAGGCGTTCTTAGAAATCTTGAACTTCAGTGACCTCAATGGACAACAAAGTAATCACATTTGAAATCCCATTAAATAAAAATTTGACTTAAAAAATAACTATTATAACCTCCAATTCATTTTAACTGCATGTTCTTAGGGCAGACACCTAAGCAAAATGAGCCAGAACAAATACATCCTAAACTTTATGGGTGGCTTGAAAGAAAATGGCTCTCATGGACTCATTGGGCATGGCACTATTAGGAGGTGTGGCCTTGTTGGAGGAAGTGTGTCACTGAGGGTGGGCTTTGAGGTTTCAGATGCTCAAGCCAGAGGCCCAGTGTGGCATTCTCTTCTAGGTACCTGCCAATCTGGATGTAGAACTCTTAGCTCCTTCTCCAGCACCATGTCTGTCTGTTGCGCCATGCTTCCCACCATGGTGATAATGGACCAAACCTCTGAACTGTAAGCCAGCCTCAATTAAATGTTTTCCTTTATATGAGTTGCCATGTCATGGTGTCTCTTCACAGCAATAGAAACCTTAACTAAGACAGTTTAAAAAATGTTCTTTACCAAAATTTTGCATCTAAGGGATTTTTACAGTTCAAGCTTTAAATCAAATTATATCAATCAGCTTTTAACAAAAACAAGAAAAGAAGTGTTCCAAAGGTTTAACTGGCAAGATGTGAGCAAGTGAAGCCCTCAGTTGACCTTAGAACTAAACATTATACTTTCACTTAACCCTATCGAAAATTGAACTGGCTGTCATTCAGCTCCTGCTAATTGGCGCCCCACTCAAAATGTAATCAAGTGAAAGATAGGAACCAGACTTGTCAATGTCCTGACTTTAGTCTATCCAAACCCATTTTGGTTTGACACCAGCCTCCAAGACTGCTATGGCAGTGTGGGTCTAAAGCTATTGGGTGTTTGGCAATTTGTTACAGCAACACAAGGAAATTAGCACACCCAGGACACTGTAAAGCACATTCTAGATGGACAGTGCTCTAGCGAGCAGTGCCTGGCACAGTGGGCACTTAGCAGTCGTTGAGTCAGTTAGCAATGTGCACATTACCATCAGCTGGCAGTAGATTCCACCAGAACAAAGGTAAGGACCTTAAAAAGTATGAGATTCAAAGTAAATAAATCACTACAGAGTTGTCAACACAGAAGTAGGTGGCACCGTGCTGAGCGTCCACAATGAGACAGATACTGTGCCAGACATGCTTTGTGCACATTAAATCCCATCAAATCCAAGCCAGATGTCACTTTTATTTCAGATATGACAGGCTGTGGCATTAAACTTTCCCAAGCTGATGAGATCAATTAACAGATAAAGTCACCTGCCAGCTCCACTTAAATGTAATCCCTGGGACTCACATAGAGTCCAATTCCCAGAAGTTGTCCTCTGACCTCCAAATGACCATGCACAGTAAATAAATTAACTAATTAAAAAAATTTTTTTTAAATATGGGAGAAACTTTCCCGGTGACACCATCAGTAAAAGTGCTCCCTGTACAAACTCATGATGACCAGCGTTCAATCCCCAGATCACACAGTAACTAAAAACAACAACTTTCAAAGGCTGCCTTTTGCAGTGGAACACGCCTTTAATCCCAGCACTTGGGAGGCAGAAGCAGGCGGAGCTCTGTGAATCTGAGGCCAGCTGAGTCTACAGAGAGAGCTTGTCCTTTCACTTCTACACATACAAGCATCACATGCACCCCACAAACACATCTTTAGTTAATCTCTTGCTTTTCCCAATAACCTACTAACTATATCTAATCACGTGCATTTCTAATTTAATCCTGTAATCTTGCTTTAGATGGAGTCTTCTGCCTGAATGTACGCATGTGTACCACATGCACCTGGTGCTATCAGAGTTCTACCTTTAAAACAAAACCCATAAGTTTTCTCCATAGAGTCAGCTTCTTTTTGCTGAATCTTGACAAGCAGAATTGCAATTCAGTTCATTTCTATAACTGAATTCATCTCCTGCTGCTCAATTCTCTTTCCAAGGTCCCTAGTCTGAATGCAAAACAATGCAACAAGCTGCCAACATTACAACCAGTGAAAGCACAAGCAAGAGGCCAAAGTGATCTATATAGGAAAGTCACCCCTCTCAACAGATCAGAAAATTAAGCTCTTCCCAAGCCTCCATTTTCTGTTTGTGTTTTAAAAGCGCTCTCTACATGTCAGAACACAACCAGGCAAAGACATTCAACAAGGCAGTCTGTCGAGTAAGGATCTGAGTCAGATCTTGTAACCCAGCAGCATCTACTTTGCCCAAACAGACCTCCCGAAACCCTAGGGCTCTGGCTAAGAGATGCCAGGATGAGGACCAATCAGCAGGACCAAATGATGCTGTCCTTCATCTTGAAGAGTGAGCACTTCTTCATGTGCAGAAAGGGGGAATAGCTACTATAGAAAGTGGTCTGCTTTTATTAGAAAGGCCTTTTCTTCCGAATTATCTATTCATTACTAGTGTAACAACTTTCTCTTCGCAAAGATCCCACCTCCCAATCATTGGATTTCCCTCCTCTGTACTACCTTAGATTTAGTAAGAAATTTTACTGTTAATATTAAGCATAACAAAAATACCACTAACCACCACCAAAGACTTACATTCATAAAAGGATAAGAAGTAGCTTGGGGCATGTGTGCTGCCTCTTCTCAATTTTAATAACCCAAATTTTCCTCATTGACCACCAAATAGCACACACACACACCACACATAGACACATGCATACACCATCACTGATGTTGAGGGTAGAAGCTAAAGCAGCACTCATGCTAAGAAATCACTCAACCATGCTAAGAAATCCCTAGTTGTCCTGTAGTTTACATTCTTAAAACTACAAAGCACCAAAGGAAAAAAAAAAAAAACTTATGATACAAACATCTTAAACAGGAGTTCCCAACTTGGAATATTTCAGAGCACTGCTTTCCTTTGATGTTATCTTCCAGAAAAAAGACTATTTGTCAGCACAACTCCTCAAATCAGCCCCCATTTCCATCCAACTTAGGCCACAAGAAACTGAGTGTGCCGCACAAGCACTAGGGGTGAAGAGAGAATATAGGCCCAGACACATAACAAAACCCTCCAGTTTGTTTCTTATATTCATGTATGAGTGCATCACTTGCATTGTAGTGCCTGCATGACAGAAGAGACCATCAGAGAATTCAGAAAAATTCAGACAACAGATCTAAAGGAAAACTGCAAACAAAATGGGGTGATAATTATGCAAAACACTTAGCCAATTTGGAATTTCTTAGGTCTCCTAGAGAAATCAATGATCTTCAAAATTTAAGCCAGGTTTAGAAAGAAGAGGGCATCTGTTCCCATTACAAATGGCTGTGAGCCACCATGTGGGTGCTGGAAACTGAACTCGTGACCTCTGGAAGAGCAGTGTTCTTAACCACTGAGCCATTTCTCCAGCACCCCTCCCACCTTTGAAATCAAGGATGAGTTGTTACATGATGAACCAGCACCGATTCTGAAGGACACTTTGTGTGAATTCAGAGATATTGGCCAGATGGACTAGAGGTAAGGCTTGCTACTGGACATCTATCTCTGAGAACACTGGTAAGGTTGCTGTGATTCCTGCCCAGCTTAATGTTCAAGTAGAAAAGTTTTTCTATAAATCTGCATGTTCTCTCATGTCACAACTCCACACATTTGCCCTTCTTACGCAGAATGCCTTCTCAAAGAGCACAGAGGTGCACACCTTTAATCCCAGCAAGTAGGCTGGCAGAGGCAGGACAGTCAGAGCTACAAAGTGAGACCCCGTCTCAAAACAACAGAACAAAAGACCCAGAATGTCTTGGTTGTGTGAGTCTAACAGCATGCGCACACACACACATTCTTGTTCATTTATCAAAGAAATCGTTTTGAATATGGAGCTCCACTTTTTGAAAGGAAGCCTTAACACTGCCCAACTACTGACTCACTTTTTTTCTGGTCCCACTCTTCCCGCCCTTGGTGAAAAGCACCCCCTGCAGGACCCTGGGCTCACCATGACAGGGAGGCCGTTCCATAACAAGAACTGGTTTTTGTTTTTAGCAAGTCGGCTAACACCTTCTGATAAACTTAAGAGCTTACTATAAGTGTCATGTGGATCACAACAGTCAACTTTTAAGACAACCTTGTAAGTTATCAAGAAAAATACACTGCACAGCAGACAATTTCATTTATTCTTGAAAATAGTTACTAGAGTGTGTGCTTCTATTTTGATTCTATTTTGAGATACCTTAGTACAAGATGGGAGTCATACACTACAAACAAAAATCTTTAGCATGAGTTTTTGATCATAGCCTCTGAAATTTCAAAAGTGGAGACAATATTTTTCCAGTCTTGTAAACTCAAAGATATAACTCCTTGCTTCCTGCCATAGGAACAGGGATCACTTTCTTCATCCACCTGGTTAACGTTAGTTGGCTCTAATATTGGCAGTCTGTCTTGGTCAAGCCTTATTCTTGCAAAGCCATCCCTTATAATAAAAGAAACATAGAAGATATTCTCCACAGTGCGAGAGAATGAGTTTGGGTCAACCACAAACTCAAAATAGGACACTGGGGTATCGGGGTACTTTTGAAAGTAGGTTTGCAGCAATCCCAAGATTCTTTCTACTTCTTTTTCTGTCGTCTCCTGATTAGCATGCATGTCCAGCTTCTTCAACTTTGTAGGCATATCTCCATTTCCTTCCATTTTGCAAGCTCTTTTGTGATGTTCAAGCCGGGGCTTTCGGGCAGAACGCTCTGCCTTAAAAGAGCCAAAAACGAAGTGGAAGGTTTCAGCTCTCAGCATCCAGGATGTTGCTTCCTTCTGCACCATCCCCCAAAAGGCAAGTGCAATGGTGTCATCGCAGTCGCTCAGCTCTTCACACTGGTCTTCCACCCAATTCAGGCCCACAAACACCAACAGTAAGTCACAGAACACAACGTGATTAAAAAAGCTCATATCAGAGTTTAACTGCTTTGCCTTTTCTTTACCCAGATCAGAGGCCAAAACCAGGAACTGGGCGTCAAGGGCGGCCTCTCTGGTTCTGCTCACGCCATCAAACAGCACATTGGCTTCCTCCAGGGCCTCGGTCAGCGAGTCGCTGGCTGTGTTCACGATGTCCTCGCGGTTCTGCTGTACATTGTAGATGAGCTGTCGGTACTGCCTGCGGATGCTGCGGCACTTCTCTCTGTCCACTGCCAGCTCCAGGAGGTCCGGGTGCATGCCTGAGGCCTCAGGACTCAGGTCGTCAGAGCAACAGTCCGGGCCTCCCCCCTCCTCCTCCTCTTCCTCTTCCTCCTCCTCCTCTTCCTCCTCTTCCTCCTCCTCCTCTTCCTCCTTCAGTGCCTCTTCCTCCCCCTGCTTCACCAGGTACCGCCAAGCCAGGCTTCCGACCATCTCCTCTCCTTTTTCTTTGCCTCCAGGCAGGGAACCTTCTCCTCTAGACATGCCGGTTGCACGCAGGTAACAGCTCTCAGAGGGCTAGCAACGGTGACGATGCCAGTGACGAAGGCTGATCGATCGAACTGGAGACCGTTGGAGAGGAGGCCTCCTGCCCATGCGCAAGCGGCCCCGCCCCCAGCCCACCCCGTGACCACGCCCCCAGCTCAGGCCCCAGCAGCAGCCCTAGGGTCAGGCCTCAGCCCCAACCTTCTTTTTCTGCCAAGCTAATTCATGCACCAGTGGTGAGCAAGGCTCATGTTACACAAAAGCGATCTTAGATGTGTCTCCACTCAAGGGTGGAAGAACAGTGGGCAGGGTTCTGGAAAGGCGCTGTTTATCTGGAAGCCTGCCAAAGGCTAAATAAAGGCTTTTATACTCTACTGAGGTGGTTAACCTTAATCCTAGAAAACAAGCAATCTAACGAAGATTTTAAACGTCATGAAAACCCACACACCAGCTCACTGGAGACCCATCGAGCAGTTAATGTGGCTCAGGTTATCATCAGTACACACGGATGAGTACATGCCTAACTCAACACAAAGAAAGCCTGACCAGGGAGGGTACAGGGGTCAGTCCCAGAGTCCAGAGAAGCAACTGTTAGGCCCTTTTTCCTTTGGTTCACCTGGGGTGCTGGGAGACAGCTAGAAAAAAGTTCTTTGCAGTGAATGAAGAGCAAGTAACATCTATAGCGATACTAAATTATTCCAAAGTCCTATTCAAGTGCAATAATTTTATCCAGGAGCAACTCACAAACTCAGGCTGGGTGTGGTGGCACAAACCTTTAATCCCAGCACTTGGGAGGCAAAGACAGGCAGCTGAGTTCAAGACCACCCTGGTCTACAGAGTAAGTTAAACGACAACAAAAGCCACACAGGGAAACCCTGTCTTGAAAAAACAAAAAGATTGAAACATGCCTTTTCTTAAATTAGAAAAAAAAATGTTATTTTGTATGTATTGCACCATAGGCACACCTGGTGCCTGAGGAGGTCAGAAGAGGGCATCAGACCCCGTGCTTCCCAAGGATTCACTCTTTAACTTCTGAATCATAGTTCTAGCCCCAGGAGTGCAAGACATACTGTCCAGAGCGAGTTTCAAAAAAGGGGATAGGAAGGGAGAGGACGGAGGGTGAGAAAAATCACTACAATATATAAAATAAACTTCTTTGAAGCTGGAGAGATGTCTCTGTGTTTGAGAGCCTTCCCAGCTCTTAATTAAGGACACGGGTTTGGTTCCCAGGACCCACATGGGGTGGCTCACAGCCACTGCTTGAATTCCAGCTCCTACACTCTCTTCCAACCTTCACTGGCGTGCATGGCGAAACCACTGCTTGACTAAGTTCCAGCACTTCCACACTGTGGATCACAACTCTGCAGCATCCTTTACCTTCATGTTTTAAGCATTCTATGTCATGGGAGTTCCTTATGCCTTCTCCTTTGGGAATTTTGTGTGAGTGTTGGTATAAGATGAGAATATATACAGTGCCAGTCTCTTCGAGTAAAATAATTCTTGGAAAAAAATTCCCTGCCACCATGGAACCATATAGCATAACTCAGCCTATTCCCACACAAGAATCCCCATTGCGTCCCCATCCCCTTGATTACACCAGGAATAGAGAAGTTAAGGATTTACTAACTGGGCTCACCTGGGCCCAGACCCAGAGCCTAAGGCTTTAGGGTCTTTAGGGTTAAGACTCCAGTTAATAAGTATAGAATAGTGCCCTCTATTAGTAGCTTACTGTACGACAAGATCTGGTCTGCCCCATGGTGAACAGATTCATTCTGTTAAGAAGTTAGACTGGTGTGATCCCTCTCTGCTATACAGAGTAGTATACCCTGAAGGAATCAGAATGGTATGGTATAATGGAAAAAGAGTGAGGTGTCAGGACCTTCCTTTTGGTAGCATATGAGGGGAATGGGCCAGTAATTAGGAAACTGCTCAGCGTTTGTTTTGTGACATGATACAAACACCATGTCATGTCCTTTGAAGAATGAAAATTCTCTTAGGGGTTTATTTCTCAGGACTCGATGTCTGACACTTCTGACCATGCAGGAGGAAGTGTAAGACTCACATGGCTGGGTTACTGAACCTTGGAGTACAATAGGCATTTAGATTCTTGCCAAACTTATTGGGTTTCGTTTCAAGAAAAATGTTGTAATGACATTTTTCTTGAATCATTAAGTCTGCTTTCAATAGAGAGCATAAGGTGTAGCCTAATCTCAATAAATGGGCAGTCATCCTGATTCACTTTCAGATCCTGTCAGCCTCACTCCCTCACAGACTCCACACCTTCTCTTTGGAACCTGAACTCCACAGAACTGGACTCCGGCACATGTGTACACACACACACATTTTCAAAAATAAAGCGTTAAAAAAGACAAAACACTAAAAGAGGAGAGAACCAACCCACTAACTTGTCTGTTGAATTCCACACAGACCATGGTACTCTTGCCTACACATAAACCATATGCATACCATAAAGCTAATTTTTAAAAAAATGTTTAATGGGTTGGAAGGACTGGAGACAAGGTTCAGAGATTAAGAGCTCTTGCAGCTCTTCTAGAGGACTGAGACTTACAACACCCTGTAACTCCATCTCAGGGGACCCAACCTCCTCTGGCCTTTGCAGGCACCTGCACATACACAGAATATATTCACAGAAACACAGATGCAGACATACACATAATTTAATTAAATGGACTGGGAGAAAAGTCTGTGTCCCCATCTTTATCTGCCCTACTAGGTATTAGTTCAGACAGGTGGCTAAACCTTCAGCCTAGCTAGCACCATTCCTCACTTGTAAGACAATAATTACGAAATTACTCAAATACAGAATTATGATTACATAATCAATCAGTGTGTTTAACTATTGAGTAGGTACTTACTACAATCCCAAAGTGTCTCAAAGACACTTTTACATACAAAGTAGTAATTTAATTTTCTTTTCACTGTTTTAAGGAAAAGGACGATGTTTTTAGGCCTAGGATGTAGTACAGTTGTACTTGTCCATATGCACAAGCCCTGGGTTTGATCCTCAGACCTGGGCATTGGTAATGACACCTTCAATCCTAGCATTTGGGAGGGGGAGGCAGGAAGATCAAATTCAAAGTCATCATCAGCTACATAGCCAGTCTGAGGCCAGCTCAGGATACTTGAGGCCCTGACTCAAAAAAAAGAAAGAAAAAATACTTTTCAAAGTTTCAACTGTTAAGGAAGAATGAGCATTAAGCATATTCCACTGTTAAGAGTATCAATCAGAGCCAGCACTTGAGAGGTGGGTGGATCTCTGTGAGTTCAAGGCCAGCCTGGACTACAAGAGCTAGTGCCAAGACAGCAGGGGCTATATAGAGAAACCCTGTCTGTGGAAGAAAAAAAAATCCACTAAGGTTTCTAGTGATGAAAAATGTTTGAACCCTGAAGAGGGGTCTGGAGAGATGGCTCAAAATGTTAAGAGCACTGGTTGCTCTTCCAGAGGTTCTGAGTTCAAATCCCAGGAACCATATGGTGTCTCACAACCATCTATAAAGAGATCTTGCGCCCTCTTCTGGCCTGCAGACATACATGCAGGCAGACATAAAATCTTGAAGGAAGGAAGGGAGAGAGGGAGGGAGGGAGGGAGGGAGGGAAAAACCCCTCCAGCTATTCCAAGGCAGGTCCACAGAGGTAGGGTTTCCACATAAGGTGTTCTCGTGAACTACTCCTTGGATTTCACTCGAAGTCATATATTTTAGGTACCCCAGAGGGACTTTTAAGTAACTGCTCTTTCAAATAAAATGTATTACATTATTTTACAGTGTTGGAGATCAAACCCAGGCCTGACACCTACTAATCACAGTGCTACCAATGGGCTGTATGCACCCAGGCACAAGGCAGCAGTATATTCATGAAGCAAAAGATAAAATGCAAGTCAAGTCACACCAATTACCTTGTACCTGGATGGTATTTTAGAATATACAAAACCTCCACCCTTCCTCTGTGGTGACAACACGTACTTCAGGACACTTTACTATCAACCCACACACTTCAGAGCCAAGAAAAGCATCATTTAGATCAACACAAGGCCTGACTGTCCTGCTATCCAAGGTAGAATTGAAGCACGCCTGGGTTCAAATAAAAATGCCTGTTTTGGAGGACCTGAAAGATGGCTCAGTGGTTAAGAGCACTTGCTGCTCTTCCAGAGGACCCTTGGGTCCTGGAGCCCATGTCTGTGACTCTGGCTCCATAGGGATCTGATGCCTCTGACCTCCCCAGAGCCCTGTTCTCACATGAACATATCACATATAAACACACACATATGTTTTAAAAAATGCTTAACTTCCACTTACTGCTCTCTGGGAGCACTGCAGTTTCCACATTTGTAGTCAGTCTACTGGGTATTCTACTCTCTCTTAAAATACTAATGCTGGTCCTTTTTTCTTTTTTACTTATAGAAAAACATTTGTCAGCATACATTTTTTGGTATGCTGTGGATTGGACCCAGGGCCTTGAATGTACCAGGCAATCCCCTCACCATTGAGCTGCACTGTAAGCCTTAACCAGTTTTTTGGTTGTTTTTTCAAGACAGGGTTTCTCTGTGTAGCACTGGCTGTCCTAGAACTCATTCTGTAGACCTAGATGACCTTGAACTCACAGACATCTGCCTGCCTCTACTTCCTGAGTGTTGGGATGAAAGGCCATGGGCCACCACTGCCCAGCTATCAGAAGTATTTTTAAATGTATACATTATCGTACACGGTAACACCCAGCCTGGTGCTGACAGTGCAGGTACCCGATAAACTTCAGTCCTACTTTCTTCCTGACTGACAAAGGCTCACCTGCATGTCATGCTAAAGGCACCGACTGTCAGATATAAAAATTCTAAATTGTTTGCCAATGTGCTACTCAGAACCAGTTCTGAGCAGCTCACAGTTTCCTGTCTGACAACCCATCTTGATGAAATCAGGTAACTTCAATGTTATCTCCTTTAAGTGAGCTTCTATGTCCCTGCCACCTAATGAATACTTATGGAATGAGTGTATGAATCAAGTGATAATTTATCATATGAAGAGCTAAAAGACACACCAAAGACACATCACCCTTCTGATTTAGTGGGCACAGTGGAATGAAGGCTCATCTAGCAAGCCTCTAATGAATGGTGGTTTACTGTATGCCGGAACTATGCTGGATTTGCACGGGCTCCATTCTGACTCACAAACATGAGAACCAGATCAGAAGCAGGCCTGTCTCTCAGAGGTGTGAGCTTTGCAGACAGGGGGTCTCTGCCTGGCAGCCAGCTATGTAATCAGGGCATGCTCCGGTAACTCTGGAAGCCTTGGTTTTATCTGCAATACTGGATAACACCAGATCCTTCTTTCATCAGGCAGTTGTGAGGACTTAGAATCCAGCACATAAACCATTGTTACTGTCACTATGGCATATTCATTTGGATGGGAGTACTATCACACCCGTGCAAACAACACAGCCATATAAAGAAAACCTACCTTGATAAGAGAGGCAGAAAATTGTCTCTGGCAGGGTTCCTCCCTTTCCAGAAATAAGGATTTGTGGGGTGCTGTGGAAACACAGAGGTAATGTGTGTCTGCACAGAAAGTGATGTAAAGAAACCAGCAAGGTGGGGAGATCTAGAGAACTATTCCCAGGAGCTTACAGGAGTTTGGGAGAGGAGATGAAAAGAAAACCACGTTGGCCCCAGCCAAGAAGGTATATAACACCACACTGAAAAGTGAGCTCTTTATCCTGGAAGCAGATCTGGCAGCAACAAGCAGCAATCAGGCAGAAGGCCGGCCAGGTTAGGGAGGAAGCCTTCTGAATGTGAGGCCCACCTGAGTGAGATGCTTGAGTGCCCTTCTCTGATGGCTATCAAGAAGAGTTCGGGTTGCTGCTAACTTAGGGAGGCTTGAAACTACAAATGAACACAACTGGGATCCGCCTTCTTGGAGGTGAACCTCACAATGCTTTGTTGCCTGCCTGTCACAGCTTCTATTCCTGCCATCAAGAAATTGAGTCTCACCGGGTGTTGGTGGGGCACGCCTTTAATCCCAGCACTCGGGAGGCAGAGGCAGGTGAGTCTGGTCTACAAGAGCTAGTTCCAGGACAGCCTCCAAAGCTACAGAG